GGGGACACAGGGACAGACAGACAGACACCTCCATTGGTGTCACTGCTCTGCGGGACACAGGGACAGACAGACACCTTCAGCAGGGGACACAGGGACAGACAGACAGACACCTCCATTGGTGTCACCGCTCTGCGGGACACAGGGACAGACAGACAGACACCTGCATTGGTGTCACCGCTCTGTGGGACACAGGGACAGACAGACACACACCTTCATTGGTGTCACCACTCTGTGGGACACAGGGACAGACAGACAGACACCTTCAGCGGGGGACACAGGGACAGACAGACAGACACCTCCATTGGTGTCACCGCTCTGCGGGACACAGGGACAGACAGACAGACACCTTCAGCAGGGGACACAGGGACAGACAGACAGACACCTCCATTGGTGTCACTGCTCTGCAGAACACAGGGACAGACAGACAGACACCTCCATAGGTGTCACCGCTCAGCCCGGGGACAGACAGACAGACACCTCCATTGATGTCACCGCTCTGCGGGACACAGGGACAGACAGACAGACACCTTCATTGGTGTCACCGCTCTGCGGGACACAGGGACAGACAGACAGACACCTCCATTGGTGTCACCGCTCTGCGGGACACAGGGACAGACAGACAGACAGACAGACACCTCCATTGGTGTCACCGCCTTATCAGCCATTTATCAGTCACTTATCAGAGTGGTTTCGCTGCCCAGCAACTGCCAGGGCAGAGCAGGTGCGGTACAAACCCCACAGCCCCTGGGGTGTTTCACAGCAGGATTTACTGGAGTACAAGTTGGTTTTGGGTCTTTCCGTGGAACTGGGAATTCACAACCCACCAGTGATGGGTCCTGAGCCCTTTGTGGTTGTGCACAGGGATTTTGAGACACCTCCAAGCTCTACCTGGGTGTTTCCAGCTCCACCCCAAAGGTTCCACCACTACAAAACCCCCAACTCCATTTCCTTTTTGGAAGGTGCAAGGCAGAGGCATCAAAGTCTCAGCAAAGCTTTGGATGTGAGATGTGGAGGAACAAACTGCAGATTTGGAAGCAAAGGAGGGAAGGAATTAAAGCAGGGAAAGAGAGATCCCAGGTACAGGGAAGAGCAGGGATCTGTTATCGCTCCTGATCTGTTATCGCTCCTGATCTGCTGCTGGATTCACCACATATGTTTGTTGGCACCCATTTAACTGATGCTGACTAAAAACACAGCATAAAATCCTGGCTGTGAGGAGGATCAAGAAGAATTTCACCACTCAAGGTCAGGAATTCACCTGTGAGGGGAGAACCAGAGCCCCAGGGAGGTTCCTGTGCTGGCAGTGCCAGGAGCAGCAGGAAGCAGAGAACAGAAACCCCATTGTGCATGGGAGGAGCTGGGATTCCAACCCTCCATTCATGCTCTGTGTCGGGGTTAATGAGAGCCCAGGGCAGGAGGAACCCAAATGTCCCAGACTGGGGCACCAGAGATCCAACAATCCCTGAAGTGACATCAGGGGAGAACAATTCCATCTTTATTCCAGGCTCTGGCTGCTGCTCCTTGTCCCGTGGCCTTTTCCCCCTTGCTGGAGCTGCAGCAGGGGCAGCCCAGGGTGGGGGGGCTGCAGGGACAAAGATCCCACCTCCAGGGGTTTCCTTTCATTTCCAAATCTCCCAGGGGCTGGAAGGAAACTGAGGCAGCATTTCTAAAACTGCAGAAATGCTGTTTTGTGTAGAGCAGGAGCAAGGTGACCCCAGGATTCACCTGGCACCAGCTCTGTGCTGTGCATATCCCATCAAAAATCACAGCTCACAGCACAGGGAGGGAGCAGACTGGGAATATTTGACTTTTAAACCACAACAACCTGAGCTGGAGACAGTGATACAGCGCGAGGACCTCAGAGGCTGCTTCCAGCAAACACATTCCTGGCTGCAGTCCCAGTTCCACACTCAGCCATGGAAATCCTGCCAGGCAGCAGCCATGGAATCCCATCCCTGCCCTCCCTGCTCCACAGGGATGGCAGCTCAATCCACCTCTGGGGACGGTGTTACCCCCTCTGCCCCCACCTGCAGCTCAGAGCCACAGAGGAGGGGCAGGAACTGATCTCAAAGCTGCTGGAGCTGCTTTTCCTCATTTCCCAGCCCCTCTGCTTCCCCAGGGCCATGCAAGGGTCTGCCAAGTGTTGGGAATCCCCCTGCACCACTGGAAATCAAGGAATCATTTCTCAGAAGTGAGAATTGAGACTCTCCAGCCCCGCTCTGAGCTGCTGTGGAACACCAGCCCAAATCCAGCACCACTGACTCTGCCAGATCCTGCTCTGCTCACAGCACAAGGGGCCACACTCAACTGTCACAGAGCCTCCCTCCAGCTTTTCCAGGCCTCTCTGCCAAAGAAATCTTGGATTTAAGGGTCTTTCTAGTGGCTTTTCTTAAGAAAATAGCTAAAGACAATTCCACGGATTCCAGCTTTTCTCCTGCCCAAACACATCAGCTCCTGCAGAGCATCTGAGGTTGTTTTACCCTGGTGTCTGCCAGAAACCAACTGGCTGAATATAAAGAAAGAATGTTGGATTGTGGGATGTAAGGACAGGATTTGCAAAGATGCTTCTCAAGCCAGTTATTAACCATGACTCATTGCCATCTGAGCAGCAATTCCACACGCAGTGTCCCTCCCCACAGGGAGCTCCCACTGCCTGCCAGCATCAAATCCCCCCTCCCAAGGCACAGATGGGGTGAAACCCCCCTGACCCAGGGGCAGGGTGGGTACCTGGAGGGCGCTGGAATGGTCACTCTGGCAGGCCAGCTCCTGCTCCACCTCGGACACCTCCAGCAGGTTCCGCTCGGCCACGAGCCGGGACAGCTCCCCCACCACCGTCACGTGCTTGGACACTGTGCCTGACATCTTCTTGAACTGAGGGTAGTTCTCCACAAAGGCCTGCAAGGGGAAACTGAGGCAGTGAAAAGCAGGAGATGGCAGATGATGGGTGCAGCCGACCATAAATGGTACAAATTCCCAGCAATTCTCTGGGACACCTCAATCCCAGGAGCCCACAGGAGGTTTGTGGGAGGGATGTGTTTTTTATTTACTCCTAACATTAAAGGATGGGACACAAATGGGATGGAATTTGTACCTTCATATCTGCTATGGACTCCAGCTTCTGCTGCTCCTTTGGCTTCCTCCTCTGGAAATCCTCCATCAGGTTCTTGATGTTGGTGCCAATCTCGGCGAAGTTCAGGTACATGTTCTGTGTGGAACGAGATGGGAAGCAGAGGGAAACTCAGTAATTCCTGGGCTGCAGGGCTGGACTTGAACCCCAAAGCAGCTGAAGTCCTTCTGCCTCATTTCCACTGATTTAGGGAACAGAAATGGAGTCACATCAAACACCTTTTGAAGCCACACCCACAGGTCCCAGGTGAGCTCAGAGCTCTGTGCAACCACACAGCCCTGGGCTGACCTGGAGCAGGCAGTTTCATCCCAAAGAGCTTTGAGCAGCTGGGAGAAGATGACTCCATCCCCAAAATCTGCAGCAGGCTTTGAAACCAAACCACAAACACATTTTCTAGAACATTATCCCACATCAGATGTCACGGATGCTGCACAACGATGCTCACAAACGGCACATCCCCACCCTGAGGGGTGCCAAAATCCCCAAAATCACGGAGAAACTCCTTTCCTGTGGCAAAGCCCAGCTGTGGGTGCTGGTGAAGCCGCCCTGGACACCTACATTGGCATAGAACTCGTCGTTCTCAGCGGACAGGACGACCTCGCGCAGGTCCTTGCTGATCCCCGGCACGCGGGACAGGTCGATGCGGTTGTTGTTGATGCCCAGCAGCTCGTGGACCATGGCCTGGTACGTCCACTGCCAGAGGAAAGGGAGGCAAAGGGATGACCTTGGTGAGACACAGCACTGGGAAATCAATGGAGCTCAGCTGGAGCTGCTCCTGCTACGCCAGGACACACACAGAGTTTGGGATGTGTCCCTCAGAGCAGCCAGGGCGTTCTGGTGAAAGTGAATATCGCTGGGAAATAACGAGATGGGGAGACACTGCCCCCCTCCAGGGCCACTCCAGAATCATGGCATGGTTTGGCTGGGAAGGGACACTCAACCCACGGCAGGGACACCTCCCACCAGATCAGGAATTCCTGCAGGAACCTTCAAAACAGACTGAAGAGGGATGGGGATTTACATTCCTGTTCCAACACCTCTGTTGGCCACCAAACCCCCCAACTTCCTGCCCAGGCAGGGAGAGTCCCACATTTCCACTGCAGAATTCCTTGCATGCTCCAGTGGCAGGAGCATTTCTGCACATCAGGAATTTCTATTTTTATCCTGAGAAGTCTAAAAATAACCCAGAGAGAACAGTGACAGCTGATCAGAGCCCTGCCGTGCCCAACACTCCATTTACATCCCCGGGAATCTCTTTGGGATAGGAAATCCTGAAACAGCAGAGAATGCCTGATGCTGAGCACAATCCTAAACACCACAAAGCAGGTGTGGGCTGGGCTGTGACACAGATGTCACCTCCAGCTCCTGCAGAACTGGTGTTACAGCAGCTCTGGGGCTGCTGGTCCCACCCAGGTGCAATTCCTGATCCCATAGAAATGAAGGGAGACCAACAGATCCTGCCAGGATCTGCAGCACAGCATGGAACAAATAAATCCAACAGCTCCCAGCAAATCCAGCAGCCATCAATAACAGAGGGAGACTCAGCAGGGCAAGGTCACTCACAGCCCCACAAACACCCTTGGGAAAGGCCCTGCAAAGCACTGGGGCTCCAGAAACCACATGGAAGTGCTGGTGGTGCCATTTCCCAGGTGCTGGGTCCATCTGCCACTGAAGCCACCACAAACAACCCCCACTCAGGTCTGGAAAACATAGCCAGGGATAAAAGAGGGATTTTGCAGGGATTGAAGGTGTGAAGCAACACTTTCCTCTACAACATCCAACCATGA